TACGTGTATCTCTGTTTATTCATACAGATTGTCTAATTCTCGCTGTGAGAAGGTCTGAAAGCAATGACACTCACATAGCCACGACTGCCTCTGGTGCCCAGATTTTTTTTTTTTCTAAGTCATACTCTCCACTTCAAAAACAAACTTCTTTGCAGACAATGACTGACTCAAGCTTAGGATGAGAAATGACAAGATAATCCTGGCATCTCTTGTGCTAGAAAGGAAGGAAGTGATCAAAGAATGAGGTCGAAAGGGGGTATCTATGGGCCAAGTCCATAGCAGGAAATATGAAATCAGAATAGAAAAATCTGACATCAGAATAATAAATTTAAAAAGAGAACTGAAGGAAAAAAACAGAAATAGAGCCTTTGCAAACCGGAAGGGGAACAAGAGTTGGAGGGAGCAGGGATGGATGGGAGGGGAAGGGGACCAAAAAGGACTAAGACGCGTTAGGTGCATGTACAGACTTGCTACGATAAACACAACCACTGTGTACTGTAAACACGTACTAAGAAAAACTAATAATAAAAAAGAACAGAAGAGATAGTAATACATTTTAATCTCTGATTAATAGGAATCTGTACTGATATAAAGGAATAAAAGAATAAAAATACTGAAGGATAGAAAAAAGCTATTATGGTTGACACATTGAGTCAATTTGAGGAGTCTAGAGGTTCGGCTAAGTGACTCAGCAGGGAGCCAGGGTGCTTACTTTGTATTCATCCTGAGCCTGTGCAAGAGGAGGGCATGGAGATTATGTGATAGCTACACGCCCCTTAGGTGGGGGTAGCCTGCTTACAATGTAAGGGAGGAAAATAGGCTTCTTGCCGCCCCTCTTCTGCTCTTGTTGCTTTGGGGGTCTGCCACTATGAACTGTTGCCCTCTGCCATGTGCCACTCTGCCTTGGAGCCAGCTGAGTATGGACTGAAACCTCCACAAACTGTGAGCTAAATAAACCTTTCCTTCCTTAATGTTGGGTGTCAGGTATTTTGTCTCAGCAACAAGAGAAAAGTAACCAAGACAAAAGCTCTATCATGTAACTGAATTGCAATTATAGTCTTAGAAAGTGCAGTAACATTAGAAAATTGTGGTTGGAATCCCTCATCCTAATAACAGATGTAGGCAAGAATCATCTACAAAAGCAAAATCTGGCAGGAGAAAGTGATTTGCAGCAGAATATTTATACAGTTTCAATGCTTCTCCCCACAAAGCTCATTAATTGTTCATTAACAATAACATATTTATGATTAATTAACCTTAAATAGAGAAACCTGGCAGACGTATCTTAATAAAGAGATAGAAGTGACTACTACAGTCATGGAATAAACAGAGACCATCTGACTCCTGAGGGGATTCACAGAGAAGAGCACAGCACTGCCGCACTGGTGTTCCGCAAATGCTCATCAACTATGACAACACACAACATAAACCCAGATGGGGAAAAGTAACCCACCTGTGTTCCTTAATTATATCAAAGCACAAGACTCAAGGAAAGACTAAAGAAGTGTCCCAGAGGAAGTAACACTAAAAAGATTCAGCCGGGCATGAAGGCACACGCCTGTAATCCCAGCACTCAGGAGGCTGAGGCAGGAGTATCAGTGAGAGTTTGAGGCCAGCCTGGGCTACAAAGTAAGTTCAAGCCCAGCCTGAACTGCATAGTGAGACCCTGTCTCAAAAAAGACAAATAAATAAATAAATAAATAAATAAATATTTGACAACTAAAACCAAGAGCAGCCTTGGATCAGATCCTAGACCTAAACTAAAAGTGATCTGGATAAACGGTGTAGTTTTAATACAGTCAACAAAAAACACAGTATTTAAGAGTGACTGTACGTGTCCTCCAAATTTTGTATAGTGAAGTACTAGCCCCTAGTGCAGATGTACTTGGGTTAAAGTACTTAAGATTAAATGAGGTCACAATAATGGGACTGTGTTTGAGAGGGATTAGTTTCTTTATAAGAAAAGATACCAACACTGTTGCTCGCGCCTCTCAGACACGAGAAGAGACAAACAGGGCCGCAGACGAAGGAGAACCCCGCCAGTTCCTGCCTTGATCTTGGATGCCTCAGCTTCCAGAAATGTGAGCAGTAAGTCTTGCTGTTTAAGCAAACTAGCCTAGGTATTTTGCTATGGTGGTCCAAGGTGACCACACAGGATAATAATAGTAATCTATTAATAACTTCTATTAATTTCCTGATTTTGATGCCTATATTGTGATTAGGATTGGGGTGAATGTTCTCAAAAGGTGCCAAAATTTTAAAACTTCAAGAATGTAGGTGAAGTGTATGTAGGAAATTTGCGTATTATTTCTGCAACTTTCACATAAATTTGAAAAGTATTACAAAGAAAAAACTGGTGATTAAACTACATGATGTTCTAACCACAAATTCTCAATATAAGTGAAATACCAAAATATTTCAATTATCATCTAGAGATATTTCATAAACATGAATTGTTATTTTATATTATGTTATGATTGTATGATACACATTTTGTTTTATTAAAGGAGAAAGCTACAAAGACCAGTGCCCCTGTATTTCTATCAACATTTAAGTATCTAAGGAAGGAATAGGTTCATTTTGTAATTACAAGAAAATAGTAAAATACTAGAAAGTCAACACAGGGGCTGGGGATTTAGCTCAGCGGCACAGCACCTGCCTGGCAAGCGCAAGGTTGTGAGTTCGATTCCCAATACCGGAAAAAAACAAAAACAAAAACAAAAACAAAAACAAAAACAAAAAAAGTCAAAACAAAGATGCTATTATTGACATATTTATCCTGCTACATTCCTAAAGCTGCATGGAAAAGGTGCCTAGAAAAAAAAAAAAAAAAACAGTGGTCAGAGTGGTCAGAGGAAATGTATTTTCCCTTCAAGGGTATTAAAAAGGATTTAAGTCTATGCCAT